CTCACATTTAAATGATGCTGAAAATCACGTAACAAGTGTCCAGGATGATTAAAACTAGTCTCCCTTTCTTCATTCTTAAAATGGCGCATCTTAAAAATGATTTGTCGGCCCGTTAAAAAATGATAATGCAATTACTACATTAAACGTGACAAAGATCCAAATAATTCTAATTTACTGAAAAGCTAGTTTGTTGACAATTTATCAAAACATGTCAAAACATTAATATTATAATTTGCATGGCCACAAAAAATAAAGTAAAAGAGCCAGCTTTTGAATCCATTACGACGAAATCCCCTTCATATATTTCATAGATGGGGAAGTGGAAGCTTGTCAACTGTCCGTAAAATCCCTTTCATGTAATTGATTTTCCGAGAAAGTAAGCACACGATCCACATATTAGCGAGTTATACTGAATTGTATCCCTTCTTTATATAAACAGTAGTTACATCCACTCACGGACCATTCATTTATCCAATCATAAATTATTCACAAGCCCAAAGTGAAACAAAAAAGAGCCGTTTATCTATGTTTTCTATGAAAACTTTGCTATGGCAGAAGCAGGAAAAAATGAGAACTTGATCCTGCACAAAAATTCATCGTAATACCAGTTTTCTTAAGGTAAAGACTTTTTTCGTAGAAATTTTTTTTCAATGCACCAAATTTGCTTATGTAGAGTTTGCCTGACATATGCTTCCTTTTGCCTCAACCAGGTGGCCATGATATCTATCGCCCCCCACAAACTGTTCGACAGTTATCTGATTGGTCAGTTGAAATCGGCATGCAAAAGCTTTATCATAGTTGCAATAACAGTTGGTTTTTCATTAACTCAATAATTTTGTGCCCTTGTGGACTTACATCCTTTTAAGCCATGTTTTTAGGTTTTATTTGTTCGCTTTTCATTATCTGGCTTAATCTGCTCCTCGAGCCAGCTGCTTCTCAAGGTTAGTATGCGGAGTCCCTTGAAAGAGGTATCTTTAATCTACTCGGAACCAGTTATTTGAATCACTTCTGTACCTTACAAGTTTCATCAAAATTGTCTCGATAGTCTTCCTTGCTGTCGAAGACGTCGACACGAAATGACCCCCGAGGATCTTGAGCATACATCCTCCGGAGATCCCTGTTATGCAAAATATAAACAGTTTTGAAATAGAATAACAGAGATGGTAAGTTTTGAGCTCAGTAAAGAAATAGAGAAAGATGTCTTTTTGTCTTGTCACGAGCGTAGGACAAACAAAAAGTTCTGAGTCCCCATGACTGAGGAAACGAACCTCAAGCCTCTGACCTCAATCGAGCCTCAGACGTTTTCAGAATAGAATGAATGGTTTCTTTCTTGATGCAGTTTCCGAGTAGGCAAGTTTTTAGTTTTGAATAGGACACACTGCATAATTTTCATGCTGTAGTTTTAAAGTGGTAACAACAATCATTAAAGTTTAACAGACCTCACGCAACATATCAACTTATGATATATACAGAAGAAATGTGCGACGCAGCTACCATCATAAAAGTTATCTAATTGGTCAGTTGAAATCGGCACGCAAAAGCTTTATCATAGTTGCAATAACAGTTGGTTTTTCATTAACTCAATACTTTTGTGCCCTTGTGGACTTACATCCTTTTAAGCCATGTTTCTAGGTTTTATTTGTTCGCTTTTCATTATCTGATAGTCTTCCTTGCTGTCGAAGACGTCGACACGAAATGACCCCAGAGGATCTTGAGCATAAATCCTCCGGAGATCCATGTTATGTAAAATATAAACAGTTTTGAAATATAATAAGAGAGATGGTAAGTTTTGAGCTCAGTAAAGAAATAGAGAAAGATGTCTTTTCGTCTTGTCACGAGCGTAGGACAAACAAAAAGTTCTGAGTCCCCATGACTGAGGAAGCGCACCTCAAACCTCTGACCTCAATCGAGCCTCAGACGTTTTCAGAATAGAATGAATGGTCTCTTTCTCGATGCAGTTTCCGAGTAGGCAAGGTTTTAATTTTGAATAGGACATACTGCCTAATTTTCATGCTGTAGTTTGAGTTAAACCCTACACATAGAGAACTTCCGTCTTTGGGCATAAAGAGTTTCACTCTGTCGTGGTGACATTTGTGAATTATTCACGAATTTGAATATAAGCCTGTTTTAAATTATTTCGCAACTCATTTTAAACTATCTAAATATAGCTGTCGGTCTTTTTTTTTTCTCTACACGCTTCCCTACATTCAATCGGTATGATTGGAAAATTGAAATCTTACAGTTACTTTATTTTCTCTACACGCGAAGTAGTGAAATTCGAAGACCCCAATCTCAATCATCAATTATACCATAAGCAAACGATCGAGCACTCAGATCTAAAATCAATAATTTGGGAGCACCTGTATAGTATATTGTATACTTTGCTAAAATAATCATCATCACGCATGCATTCCCTGTGATGTCTCACATTTAAATGATGCTGAAAATCACATAACAAGCATTCAGGATGGTTAGAACTAAAATGGAGCATCTTAAAAAATGATTTGTCGGCCCGTTAAATAGTAATAATGCAATTACTACCATAAACGTGACAAAGATTCAGATAATTCTAATATACTGAAAAGCTAGTTTGTTGACAATTTATCAAAATATGTTAAAATATCAATGTTATAATTTGCGTGGCCACAAAAGATAAAGTAAGGGGGCCAGCTTTTGAATCCCTAACGATTAAATCCCCAACATATATTTCGTAGATGGGGAAGTGGAAGCTTGTCCGACTGTCCGTAAAATCCCTTTTAATTCATTTTTCCGAGAAAGTAAGCACACGATCCACAAATTAGCGAGTTATACTGAATTGCATCCGTTCTTTATATAAACAGTAGTCACATCCACTCACGGATCATTCATTTATCCAATCATAAATTATTAACAAGCTCAAAGTGAAACAAAAAAGAGCCGTTTATCTATGTTTTCTATGAAAACTTTGCTATGGCAGAAGCAGGAAAAAAATGAGAACTTGATCCTGCACAAAAAGTCATCTTAATACCAGTGTTTTTTTTTAAGGTAAAGACTTCTCGTAGAAAAATTGTTTTTCAACGGACCAAATTTGCTTATGTAGATGATGTGACGTAAAGATTTGTCAAAAATGGGTCTCTATTCGTTTATCCTATTGTATTTCACCTTGATGAAACTTTCTGAGTTTATATTCTCTTATCACAAATGAAGAGTGGCAGCCTTTCTAGATTTAAATAGAAGACTGATTGTAGTAAGTGTATTTTAAGAAACTTTTTGAATGTGGTATCGGTTGCGTTAAAAAAAAAAAGGTTTCCGCATCTTTACCCCTGTTATCCCCAAGATCTCATTAGTAATTCTCCTAACTGTCTGTTATAAAATTCTTGAGATGTTAGCTCGGAGTATTTGATATCGATTCAACTAACTGGGAGTTAGAGTATTTTCAAGTTTTGGCGCTATTCAAGCAACTTTAATCCTGTCATCCCCAAGATCTCATTATGCAATTCGTGAGATGTTAGTTCGGAGTATTTGATATTGATTCAACTAACTGGCGGTTAGAGTATTTTCAAGTTTTGGCGCTATTCAAGGTAGAGTTTCCCTGACATATACTACCTTTTGTCTAAACCAGGTGGTCATGATATCTACCGCCCCCCACAAACTGTTCGACAGCATGTGTTTGTGAGAGAAGAATTCCGTTATTTGAACGTCCCCAGAATTGGATCCTACACAGTGGATGATAGCATTGACTGTGTATTAAAGTGCCTCAGTCATACGTCATGTTTTTCTGTGAACCTGGCCGCGTCTAGAGGAATGCACGGAAAGTTTTGGTGCGAGCTGCTCTCTTCTGACAAATACAGAAACTCCACTGAACTCCTTGGAAACAAGAGCTCCCATCATTTCGTCACTAAGGTTACAGATATTCTTTAGGGATTGTAAATGTGTACTGTTAAGTACTTAAGAGGCCTAGCTGTAAGGCCTGAGCTAACGAGGGGGGGTTAATTTGAAACCTTACTCTTTACTCTATCACATGACAGGTCTGCATATCCTTTGTTTAGCAGTAGGCTCTATTATGAGTGAAATTTTATTTAAAACAGACCCATATGTTATCATTGTTCAACTATTAAATGTTTCTTCTTCTCCTCAGTCTCCCTGTTCTTCCTCGCCATGCAAAAATGAAGGGACCTGTGTACCAAGTTACAAAAGTGGCATCTTTGAATGCCTCTGCAAGAAAGGCTTTATTGGAGAAGTCTGCGAGAAAGGTTAGACGTTACTTGCGATTGCCAGGTTGGATTAGCATTTATTTGCATAAAATTTGGCTCTCTATCCAGGGATTGCCTTGCCGCAAGAGCAGTTTGGTTTTAGTATATTAACGACAACATAGCCAATTGGGTGATCATTGCGTTGGTCCTACAATTGACCTCTTTCCTAACTGAAATTTATCAAAGGCTTCCTCTGACGAACTCGTTTGATGCAGTACTGTAAATCCCCTGTAAGGAATGGATATTCACCGTCACTTCAGTTAATAATTGTTAATTACTTCAACGGTGTCAGGCGAATAAGAGTTGAAGATTTAAAGAAAACTTCTACCCTTGCTGCATGCCGGAGACGTCATTTGTAACACGCAATTCTTTAATTCATACTTAGGCTTCAAGTCCTGTAGAGATGCGTACAATTCATACAGGTAGGTTTGAAACTTGTTTCATATGAATGAAGAGGGAAAAACTCGATATTTAATTCAATCTTTAACTTTAGATTGGGATGCATTCGGTGATAAAGTTAAATTCTTACTTTAGACACTAAAAGGGCAAATTAAGAATTTAAAAAAAGAGTTGTCTGTTGAGTTAACGTCAGAAATCATCTTCTCCTTTCAGTTTCCAGGTTAATTTCATTCAATGAAATATTCAGGTTTTATTCTTGTCATTTTTCATTCGTAAAACTTAACATCAACTAAAGAATTATTGGATCTAATAAATTTTGCAGAAATAAAAATCAATGTAGTTGTTAAGACTGATCTGGTTCCCCGAACAGGTCGAACGCCAGCGAGTTGGTTACCTTACACTTTGGCGCGAAAACAACTTCCGTTCTCTGTCAAATGGGAGATTTTGGATGTGGAGATGGTGGATGGACACCAGTTATGAAGATTGATGGCAACAAGGTAGGTTGTTATCTTTTGTTGTGAAATTTTCCTTCAAAGGGTCTGCATAAAAATACATCATTCACTAATTTGCTGTACAGAATTCATGTATTTCTAACCACAAATGTCTCACTTCATTTATCTCGAACAAGTCTGGGTCGAGCTTCGTGCCACAGCCAAAATGTTTTGGTTTTCGCGACGAAGAATCATGGCGAAGTATGTAACATTGCGCAGATGCGGCACAGGTCAGGTCAAATATCCTTCCACTCTTCCGTTTCCCGCTCAAAATAAAAAAAGAGGCGGTTTCAAACGGGAAATCGTGCGAGGGGCGTAATTTTAATAGATTCTGAATCACAATGCACAATTTTCTTGCTTACTTCTTTCGATGCTTCTCTTTGCATCGGATTGATTATTTACTGTAATACAATTACTTCGCAGAACACTTTTCTATTCAGTTCGCGATACTGGACTGACAAAAGCGAATTCAACCCGTCTGGTGGAACGACTGGCTTCGATTCACAAGAGACTAAGCTACCGACCTACTGGAACACACCCTTTTCCAAGGTCTGTCTCGGTATGAAGGTTAACGGACAGATGAAGTTCACTCTTATCACCAGCCAGGCTTCCTCTCTTCACTCTCTGATTGCTGATGGTCATTATCGGTCCACTTCACTGGGTCGGAACAAGTGGATAGCGCTCACTGATTCAAAGGCTCATCTCCAGCCCAACTGTAATAAGGAAGGATTCAATACCCAGACCATCCATCGCAGAGCAAGAGTCGGAATCCTTGGGAACAACGAAAACGACTGCAATACATGTGACTCTGTAATGGGGTTTGGTCTTGACAGCACAGCTTGCGGTGATCTCCATTCCTTCAGAGCCATGTGCTACATCTTGGTTCAGTGATGATTTGCGTTTAAATAAATTTTAAAACAGCACCAAAATAGATAAGATGAAGTCATCTAAGAACAGTGTGTAAAAACGCAGGATTATAAAATTTGTTGTGTATATGAACGCCTTGAGAACACTGCGATTAAGCATCTATCATCCGAGTCTCGCAAACCAGAATGTATGATGCTCGCGAAAGCTTTGTACAGCTTTTCTTATGCCATGTGTGTTTGTAAGTGAAAAAATGCAAATAAACAAAGCAAAATCGAAACGAAAGAAAACAAAAAGAGATATATTTTTCCAAGCTCTCTTAACACAATCTACGAGTAAAGTTTACCATTCACCGTTGACTTTATTCACTTGACCCAGTTTTTGGCTCGCGTCCAAACATATCGATAACGTAGGCTAGCCAGCATCTAATTTCTCCTTACAGTCATACAGCTGAACCATTCATTAAGATCATAAGAATAAAGCAAATGATCGCCAACCAACGAAGCTTTGATTGCTAAACAAATTCTCCTTGTCAGTACTAAAGGAAATGTATAGAGAAGAGTATAGAGACTATGGATACTGATGTTAGGGTGTAAAGGATTAAATCCGTATTCAGTGGATGACGATTTATCCCGACCGGTGCCCTGAAGGTAAAGGCTGCATAACCAGAATGCATTAAAGCTGCGTAATTGTAAGGTTTACGCGCCGTACAATTGTAGGCGCTGGAAGAATATTTCGCTAGTTATTATCCCATCTGTCTTCTACTCTTCGTTAATTTTTTCGTTGATAAATGCATTCTTTGCTATTTACACTTCGAAAGCTGAAACAACATTTTCAAGCAAGAAAACATTTGCCTCATCTTCCTCTGCGTGAAATACCCATCGCTTTTTAAAAATCGTGTGATATGGGCGTGTTTTTCGAGTTGATATATTTGCATTTAGATACATTCAAAATGAAATAGTAATCTTTAATCACTAGGTTCGTTTGAAAAATTATCAAAACGCAGAGATGCCAACCTCTGGAGATCTCAAATCTGGAGACTTTTTTTCGGACTAGCAACCCCCCCTGACCGAGTTTGCCAATACGACCCCCTACCCCCCCCCCCACCGAGCAATTTCGTCGGATAAACGTGGATCTATCTATCAGTGACTTCAAGTGGTTGATTACTCATCCAATCAGACTCTCGCTTATATAGAGGTAACAAAGAAGAAATTCTCTTCTATTTGTTTGCAACGAACAACTTCCATTACGCAAGAAAATGAAGCCAGAAACAGTAATACAAGCATGAGAAGCCAGATGATTTTGGAATTTTGGAACATATGGAGCTTAAATCTTATTTTTTTGTGGGCAACTGATCCAAACTTTGTTTTATCTGGTGGTTTTTGGTCACCCGTACGGGAGAGCGGAGATTGCCTCTGTATCCGGGAGAATCCCGGATAATCCGGGAGAGTTGGCATATATGAAAACGTAGGATAATCTAGCTGGATTGGTCAGTCAATAAAAGTTAACGAGATTAAGGAGATGTTTTAACGACAACAGAGTCAGTTTGTTTTGAGGGAGAAGAGGCGGTTTTAGATATTTTCGCCTAAAAAACCTCGATGGTTGATTCACGGGCCATCGCAGCGAATGTTTCCCTTCTTTATTCTGTTTTATTTATCTGGTCTGAACCGATCCTCAAGGCAAAAGGTTAGTGAAAATGTAGACTGCCACCGTCAGAAATTTGAAAACGCTGACTTTTCGAGGCTTGGTTCTCGAAGCATAGACGAATAGTTTGGCTCCAAACGTCAGTGTTTCAACAAAATTTGCCTCTGCACTTCATATACTTTTAATTAACCTGGTTATAGTTGACGATCCGCTTCATTTTTCAAATAATCCCCGACGCAACACATAAGTTAACGAATTTAAAAAATTAACTATCTAAAAAAATGCTTTTTTATTCAATCAATGATTCATTTCAGCTACAGTTTTATCTCAATCAATAATTCATTTTTCCCCTTTCATCGTTTAGATCGATAGACCTTCAACTGTGAGCGTTACGTTTAAGTTTTAACAAAGCCAGCAGTGATGAAAATTACACGGTAGTTCAAGTCAAAAACGTCTTACCTTCATTTCATTGTCTTAGCTTTTTTCCGTTTAATTTAAGCGCACTTTCTCGGGCTTTAACCGTCGAGATACTCTTCTTTCAAACTTTGTTTGAAATCAACGGTTCATTTCTCAAATTCTACGAATGGGATGCCTCTGATGCGATATGGAAGATTTCATAACTTAAAAGAGGGTGAAAATTTAGGTATTCAGTGTTTACCAAGGTATATATGTGAATTTAGCATAAATCTAGTAGCGTTCAAGTATAATTGCTGCAATATGATTGGCTACGCTTCTCGTTATCTATTCTGTAATACATAGTAATTAAAGTAAGAAGCCGAACAGTTTGTGGTCATATATAAAATTAAATACAAGCATGGGTCTGTCTCGCTGTTAAGCTTTGAACAAGTAGTAATTTTAAATGAAGATAATTAGATTATTATTTATCAATGTTTTTAAAGGCGTTTTCACGCGTCATCCTCACCTTGGTTTTATTTATTTCATTTCATTTTTCAATTGCTATCAGTTTCAATTCATTTTGGTTTATGCGATGGATAGTTTTGATCGATGAAGAGCCATCTCGTGGGCTCCATTGAGTAAACCATTATCATTATTATTGTTATTATAACTGCTATTGTAATAATTATTATTATTACTTTTATTATTATCATTACTATTGTTATTACACGTGATACCTTATTCGGACCTTTCCCTTACCTATTCTTATGCTCGATAGAAATCTCATTCTCATAATCTAATTTTTTAGCAGGAACTTATGTTTCTGGTAGCTATGATACTATGTATTTAAAAAATTATTCGATCAAATATGGAAAGGAGCAAATAAAAACTCAAGGCGACGATATGAAAAGGACTCGCGCGTGAGAAAAGTGATTGGCATCAACCAATGATTTGTAGACTAGGTAAGGACGAAACTTTGTGTAGGATTTTGAGGATGATCCTAGTTGTTTACCCGGTCAGTAACGTTATCAAAGTACTTCACCAAAACACTTTCCTCTATCTGTTTAACAAGATATGAGAAATTTTAAGCAAACATTAAAGTTTAATAGACCCCCCTATAACATATCAACTTATGATATATACGGAACAAATGTGCGCAGCAGCTTCCGTCTTAAAAGTTATCTGATTGGTCGGTTGAAATCGGCACGCAACAGCTTTATCTAGTTTCGATACCAGTTCGTTTTTTATTATTCAATACTTTTGCGCCTTTGTGGACTTACATCCTATCAAGCCATGTTTCTAGTTTTTATTTTTTTGCTTTTCATTATCTGGCCTAATCTGCTCCTCGAGGCAGCTGCTTCTCAAGGTTAGTGTGCGGAGTCCCTTGAAAAACGCATCTTTAAGGCAAGCTTGTAAGATAGTAATTGGGAATAACCTGCTTCCATAAATTTGAAAGAGCCAACTTTATCTTACTTAACTTTGCTCATTATTCTTTTGTGAAGCAAATTGATATACTTTTAGACTCTTTCACAAATTATAAGTACTCGGAACCAATCATTTGAATCTTTTCTCTACCTTAAAAGTTTCATCAAAATTGTATTGATAGTCTTCCTTGCTGTCGTAGACGTCGACACGAAATGACCGCCGAAGATCTCGAGCATACATCCTCCGAAGATCCCTGTTATGTAAAATATAAACAGTTTTGAAATATAATAAGTGAGATGGTAAGTTTTGAGCTCGGTAAAGAAATAGAGAAAGATGTCTTTTCGTCTTGTCACGAGCGTAGGACAAACAACAAATTCTGAGTCCCCATGACTGAGGAAGCGAACCTCAGACGTTTTCAGAATAGAATGAATGGTTTCTTTCCCCATGCAGTTTCCGAGTAGGCAAATTTTTAATTTTGAATAGGACATATTGCCTAATTTTCATGCTGTATTTTGAGTTAAACCCTATGCAAAGAGAACTTCTACCTTTAAGCATAAAGAGTTCCACTCTGTCATGGTGACATTTGTGAATTATTCACGAATTTGAACATTAGCCTGTCTTAAATTATTTCGCAACTCAGTTTAAACTATCTAAAAAATATAGCTTCGGGTCTTTTTTTTTCCTACACGTTTATCTACATTTCCAATCGGTATGATTGGAAAATTGAAATCTTACAGTTACTTTATTTTCTCTACACGCGAAGTAGTGAAATTCGAAGACCCCAATCTCAATCATCAATTATACCATCAGCAAACGATGGAGCACTCAGACTTAAAACCAATGTTTTGGGAGCACCTGCATTGTATATTGTATACTTTGCAAAAATAATCATCATCACCTATGCATTCCCTGTGACGTCTCACATTTAAATGATGCTGAAAATCACGTAACAAGCGTCCAGGATGATTAAAACTAGTCTCCCTGTCTTCATTCTTAAAATGGCGCATCTTAAAAATGATTTGTCGGCCCGTTAAAAAATGACAATGCAATTACTACCATAAACGTGACAAAGATCCAAATAATTCTAATTTACTGAAAAGCTAGTTTGTTGACAATTTATCAAAACATGTTAAAACATTAATATTATAATTTGCATGGCCACAAAAAATAAAGTAAAAGAGCCAGCTTTTGAATCCATAACGACGAAATCCCCTTCATATATTTCATAGATGGGGAAGTGGAAGCTTGTCAACTGTCCGTAAAATCCCTTTCATTTAATTGATTTTCCGAGAAAGTAAGCACACGATCCACAAATTAGCGAGTTATACTGAATTGTATCCCTTCTTTATATAAACAGTAGTCACATCCACTCACGGACCATTCATTTATCCAATCATAAATTATTCACAAGCCCAAAGTGAAATAAAAAAGAGCTGTTTATCTATGTTTTCTATGAAAACTTTGCTATGGCAGAAACAGGAAAAAATGGGAACTTGATCCTGCACAAAAATTCATCGTAATACCAGTCTTCTTAAGGTAAAGACTTTTTTCGTAGAAATTTTTTTTCAACGCACCAAATTTGCTTATGTAGAGTTTGCTTGATATATACTACGTTTTGCCTCAACCAGGTGGCCATGATATTTACCGTCCCCCGCAAAGTGTTCGACAGGATGTGTTTGTGAGAGAAGAATTCCGTTACTTGAACGTTCCCAGAATTGGATCCTACACAGTGGATGATAGCATTGACTGTGCATTTAAGTGCCTCAGTCATACGTCATGTTTTTCTGTGAACCTGGCCGCCTCTAGAG